CCCCAAAACCCCAAAACCCCAAAACCCCAAAACCCCAAAACCCCAGTATGTGGGAACAAGTTTTATTAAATTAGAAATAAAATGGCAAGTTATTTTCCAACAGAGAAAGAACTCATTAACTGCCCTATCACTGGAGAGCTCCGAATTGGTAAAAATCTCGATATTTATGGCAAAAGTGGAGGTGCTGCAGGGACAAGAATTAACTTCAACCATAATGAATTTAAGAAAAGACTAGGAGATACTGCTCTGACTTTCAATTCCGCATGTGAAGGACAGAACAGAGTTAGGGAATATCTGACTAGATCAGGTGTATTTCACCCAAAATTATATAATAACAGTGCTATTCCTATCCTAGGGTAAGCCTCCTTAGATTTTCCATTTCTTAATTCAAACCCAATACTAATATTAATACAGAGACGATGGATCAAGCTATGGAAGGGTCTCAGAAGAGAGGATGGCAAAATAGCGGAACTAGAAGGTCACTCTCCAACCACAAAGCCAACAACTCTTCTTTCGGCTTGATAGAAAAAGACTACCAAGTAAGATAGTCCGATCAGGATAAAATCTGATATAATCTTGAATTTAGAGCCTACGTGAAACATTTGATCGAAACAGTAATCTGTTAAGAGAGAAAAGAAAAGCAAAAGAGCCTAGCAAATATGGAGAATTCTTTTCTCAAGAACCTTCATACAGAAGCTCTCATGATGTATACCAAGACAATGAGCCTAAATTCCAGAGATCATCAAACAGATTTACTCTGAAAGACTCTCAAGCCAAGCCTAAATTTGAGCATAACTTATTGCTACCCACAAGGAATGCTAGAGAATTTAAGAAGCTTCTCAGTGGTAGTAAGAACAAGTTTGTGGAAATGATGAAAAACAAGCACAGACTTGACACTATAGCATTCAAACCTGCTAGAAATACCTTAACTGTCAGGCCTATGGCTGAAGAAATTTTAAGTAAAGGAGGAAGATATAAGCAAAATAATGAAAGATCAGCTCAAAAGCCACGAATTTCGAGGAAAATGATCCAAGATAGTGCTTATTTGAATGATAGAGTCCCTTTAGTTAGTCCTGAAAGGCCTAATAATTTGTATAAATCCCATTTCAAGACAATAGAAAGTCCAATGGCTCCAATAAACACTCAAAAGAGTATCAAATCTTTATCTAAAAATGCTTCTCCTTTACACAAATCAACTCTGCCTGCCCAAATAAAATCCCAAAAAGGACTTAAAAATGCTTACAAAACTTCAAATTTCCCTAGAAAAATGGCTAAAAACCTAACCATGCCAGCTGTAAGAAACAAGCCAGTTCAGAAATCTCCTGATAGAATGCATAGTAAGTATCAATCAAGATATTTACTCAAAAAGACCTAACTAAATCCCCATAGCCATTAACCAAGACCAGACATCCCTTCAGAACACGACTAATGTAAGAAATTCAAGATAACTTTAGTTCCCTGAAACCATGGCCTCAGGCACGGCTTATCCCAAGAGAACTACTCTAAGAGCTGCAGAAAAGAATGTTCAGAGTAATTTCAAAGTCTAATAAATATAGAGCAAGCTAAGATCGCCTCTGATCACTCTAAGGCCAATATCGGTAAAAAGAATTCGCTTAGCATACTTTTTATTATAATACCCCGCTTTGGTTATGAAAACCAGGTGTTGTACTTCGTTAAACAGAAAAGCAATAATTACGCTTTTGATACCTATTGAATATTCTAAAGAGCATCTTCTAATCATTAGAAGTACTTCATTTAAAACCTTCAGAGCTGGCCTATTCTAAATTACTATTTTCGTTGTATAGCCTCCAAAACAATGACGAAATCCTCAAAACCACTCTCAATTGGGTCAAAAAATACAATGGCGAAAGACCAAGCTCTTATCAACTAGACTGAACCAACTAAAAGGCCTTTCCAGTGCTGAAAACTCTAAAAAATTACATTAGAGACACATTTAAGGTTTTTCAATCGCTAAGTTGAATATTGGGGTTTTGGGGTTTTGGGGTTTTGGGGTTTTGGGG